AGGGGGGGGGGAGGGGGAAGGAGGGGGAAGGAGGGGGGAGGGAGAGAGAAAGAACAGCTGCTGCATTTTATTACATTTTGCCATTTATCTCGCGACTCTTCGTATACCGGATTAGCGATAATTGCTCTTGCGGTCGTGGCACCTTCATCATCGATTTTTGCCCGCGCGACGGCCGGCCTTTTAAATTTATTAACACGGAAATCCTGCTCGGAAATGCACGCTTTTCGTGCCGCCACCGCTATGAAATAGCACCGTGCCCTTATCGATTACGTCGTATCAAATGCCGCTCTCACTCTCCCGGGGGGGATGCTCTCTTGCGCGCGCGCACGTAAGTTGCCAGAACATCGACGCGGACTTATTCAAATTTGCAACAAGTACCAGTCTGATATCCTGTTGAGACATCGGAGTTCGCGAACTGCGCTGTAAATTCCGTTCTTGTTGCTCGGAGTTACCTCGGAGTTTCTATGCGGCGGACAGATGTAGCGCTCCAGCTCGACGGAAGACTCGAGATTCGGCGGCTTATGGTAATTTCAGTAGAGACGTCGCGCATCTTGGCTGCTTCGAGAAATAAAGACTGACGTTTCGGAGGATTGAGACGTAACGAACGGATACGCCGCGATGCGCTTTTCACCGCGACTGCGGTTGAATCTGCCTTGCGATAAATCGAAAACTCATATCTCTCCGCATCCGATTTCAAGCTTGTACACGTCGCACTGCTTTCCAGCGAGCTTCGCAGAAGTGTATTCGCGACTTCACATAAGACGATCGATATCACTTTTCCGGTAAATATAGATCTGAGGAAAGTTCCCTCTCCAGATGTCTATCGCGACATTGTGACACTCGCAATTCATGTAGTAAAATCGATTTTTTTCGCGCGGGCAAAATGATTAGAGCGACATGGAATGTTTTTGCCGAAAGGCTCGCGAAATATGTCGGGTGCACGTGGATGGAAACGTGGCGCCTGCGGGAAACGAACTTTCGATTCTCTCTCAAATCCAATATGTCCATGTGATGGATTCTCGTTCAACCAGGAACGACCGAGTGCGGGGAAGCGAGACTAATCGCGCTCCTTGCGCCGATCGCGCTATTATTCGATTCATCGTGTATCGATAAATCTTGGCCGCCACGGAAGTTCTTAATCCACGGGACTTATCAGGGCTCGACGCGTTATCGGGTAGACGCTCGTGGGATCGGCTTTCATCACTTCGCCGTGATTAATTAACACTTCGAGTGAATTAAGTCGCACTCCGTTGCTTATGTATAATAACTTGCCCATCTTGGCCAGCTCTATATTTTATTATACTTTGCTACGTACTTTGATTTTTATTCATCCGGAGACTCGTAATCTCATCACACGGCAGGCGATATTCACTGTCGAAATTTATTAAAGACTATATTCAGGCTCGTATGAATAAAATTCAAACTATATTATCAAGGTGCTAATAAGCCACGCTGGTTTTTTTATGCGAATTTACTCTTATACATATATTATGCTTAATATATAAGAGTAAATCCGCATAAAACAACTAGCGTGGCTTATTAATTCCTTGATAATTTGAATTTTATTCACTGTTGATTTAAATTATAATGCACCATCGTGTCGCTTAGCTTCTCTTAATTTCTCCGAATAGAAACTTCTTTAATGCCGTAAGAATTTTTGTAATATTCTTGTAATATTTTTTAAATTTAATTTTTGTGCGCGTCTCACTTTTAGTTTGCAATATTCAACAAGTCTACGTCGGTTTTTTATTTATTAATATCCTACAACGATAATTTTGTGCTATTTACTCCTGTACGAGCTTTATGTTGCTTGCGTAAGAGTAAATAGCTTCTAACGATGTAGTAGCAAACCCCGTGCGGGTTCTCTCAGAAGCAAAATATGGTACAACGTGGGCGCGACACGGGACCGCAAAGGATGATAACTCCCTCGGGCGCGAGAACCATAATCACAGTCGGCTTGATAACGTAAAGAGCAGGCGTTGGCTGGGAAGGGTCGGATGTGACGTGCGATGGATCAATCGTCTAATACAGGCCCATGAATATCCGTGAATGTACATATACGTATACAATTATATACGCTGTAAACATAACGGCCGCAAAGCAAATTCACTCGCGAGCGCGATCCGGCTGGAAATAATTCACGCTCAGGTTAATCGATTCGCGCCGTCCTAAGTATATTATTATAGCCGCGATGCGCTCAAGACACCCCCGCTTAACTCGGGAGATTCAATATTACAGCATCGTAACTCTCGGCGCACCGTGAGGTATAAGGGCGCTATATATCTCGCGAATAAGTGACGGTAGGACGGAAACGAGCCGCCGGATATTCGCCCAGTGGCATCCCTTCCGTCCCGCCTTGAAAATGCAACGCAATCCAATCCGGAGATTGAGTGTCGTTAAAACCACTCGTTCCCAGCCGCCGGATTTCATCCGTGATCTTTTTCATTCCTTAAAGTGGCCCGGAATCCTCGATACACACGGTTATTTACGACGACGGAGGAGCGTATAATGCATTTCTTACTGCGTCCTTGCAGCAGAAGGAAGAGGAAAGATCGACGATCCTTCACCATCAATTTTCCATGTACACGCTTCCACTCTTATATTTTATTTCGCATATTTGCGACTGTCAGTTTAAACTCTGATATTTTTCAGCAAACCGCAGCATCCGCAGAACTTCTTCGAGAAAATATTCCTGGCTTTTGAAACAATTTTGAAAACTTCGGGTCTCATTCACATTTCTATCTTAAATTTTCAGAATTTTGATATAAACGATTTCACGTATCAATTCCGAAGTTGAATGCCGTGTTTCGTACTGCGCTATTTGTAAACACGCTGTTTATGCTTTTAAAACTCGAGCAAACTTAAACTCGCGAAAGGAGAAAAGTATGCGTATATATATATAGATGCAACAGTATGAAAAGAAGTTATTTTCCCGGTATAGAAAATTCCTTTTCGATAAAATTAAAGTTTGGTACGTTCACGTTCCGCGGCACGGTATACATGTATATTCGTTCTCTGAATATCGTGTCTATACGTAATATACTGTGTACGCGCGTTTGTGTAAAAAAAAGCTATCAGAGAGTCGAACCGTTTTTTAACGCGGAAAGTATAACGTGGAAAGAGCGTCGATCGCGCGCGGAACTCGTGCGATTTTCCTCTTCGATATATCGAGTGGCTTCCCTCTGCGACACGTTCCATCTCGCACCTCGCTCGTGCCGCGAGATGGATTTGGACGTGCTCAAACGCTTCCCGTGTTTCCTTGTTCGTAACACGGGGCATTGATCGCTCGCTCGCCGAGCGGCGCAGGGAAAAGTGATATTCGCGGAGGAAATGTTCCTCTCAAGCAACGCCGATACAAGGAATTTCTCTGATAACGGAACACACACGGGGAGCGCCTCTCCCTCTCTTCTCCCCTCTCTCTCTCTCTCTCTCTCTCTCTCTCTCTCTCTCTCACGCTCTCTCAAGCTCGCTGTTGCTCACGCGCGGCTTCTGGAGGTGCCACGACGAGCATTTCGCGTCCGCTCTCCCTCCCCCGTGTTCTCCTTCTTTCTCTCTACGTACATTCCGCCGGCGAACTTGATGAGAAATTCTATGAGCGCGATAGCGCGGCTGTAAACGCGGCGCGACGCATTTCCGGCGTATCGTCCTTCGAATCGGCGACGACGGCCTCGCATTCGCTTCGTTTTTCTCGCCCGCAGCATCCCACGCTTCTTGTCGCCCAATCCTGCATATTTTATTGCGCTCTCGTGCCCGCTTTTCGGGCTATTAACCGACATAACTGATGTGCAGTTTTATCTCGCGGTCCACTTTCGTTAGTAATGGCGCGATTAACAAGCCCAATGGACATTTTCCACGATACTATATTAACACTTAACTTGATTTATTTTTGTAAATATAGCGCTTTACTCTCTTCTCTCGAATTTTCACTCTTTTCTGTGAAATGGCGCTTTTCGTGGGTCTCATTGATGAAAAGAATAATTTTGTTGTTTTAATACGCCCCCTTTTATGCGTTGGTGACAAAAAAATTTGGACAATCAGTTTGAAAAAGTCGCTAAACAATATTGAGCAGTCAACTATCGGCTAGACACAATAGCGTGCCGAGCTGCTCTAATGGACGCTACGTCGCGTTGTTACATATACGAGTAAATGTTTCCCGGAATGTGACGCGGATTCTCTCCTTCATTCGGGCATGTCACGAAAGAAATTCGCGCAGCGAAGTGAATCAAGTTACATGCTTGTCAAAAATTTTTCAATTGTTCGTATCGTCACTATTTTTAAGGAATTTGTGTACAATGTGCATTGCGGAATGACACACGCTCAATAATGTTGCGGATACAGTTACGGATAAACAGAAGAATATTATTTCACTGATTCATCGACAACGAGATCCGGCGTTTAATGAATATTCCTTGCGAGTCTGATAATTCAAACTACGAGAACGAACAATGTATCGGTTTCGTCTATTTCGATTTAATAGAAATTTTAACACG